GCAGTGCTATGTTGGCTAGCACTATGGAAGAAAGAGACTTGGGGGTCATCATTGACCACAAGATGAACATGAGCCTGCAGTGCGATGCTGCGGCTAGTAAAGCGACCAAAACGCTGGCTTTCATCCATAGATGCTTCTCAAGCAAATCCCGGGACGTCATTCTCCCCCTGTACTCGGCCTTAGTGAGGCCGGAGCTGGAGTACTGTGTCCAGTTTTGGGCTCCACAATTCAAAAAGGATGTGGAGAAGCTTGAGAGAGTCCAGAGAAGAGCCACGCGCATGATCAGAGGTCAGGGAAGCAGACCCTACGATGACAGGCTGAGAGCCCTGGGGCTCTTTAGCCTGAAAAAGCGCAGGCTCAGGGGTGATCTGATGGCCACCTAGAAGTTTATCAGGGGTGACCACCAGCATCTGGGGGAAAGTTTGTTCACCAGAGCGCCCCAAGGGATGACGAGGTCGAATGGTCACAATCTACTTCAAGATCGTTTCAGGCTGGATATAAGGAAGAACTTCTTTACTGTCCGAGCCCCCAAGGTCTGGAACAACCTGCCACCGGAGGTGGTTCAAGCGCCTTCATTGAACACCTTCAAGATGCAACTGGATGCTTATCTTGCTGGGATCCTATGACCCCAGCTGACTTCCTGCCCTTTGGGCGGGGGGCTGGACTTGATGATCTTCCGAGGTCCCTTTCAGCCCTGATGTCTATGAAATCTATTATATATCAAAAATATATAAATTAATGCTGTTGCACTTTATCAGGATAACTTATTTTTGAGGCATTTTAGTGATAAACATATTTAGCTGTAATACTCTGTTGCTTAGCAACAGAAAGGTGTAATCACGTTTTAGTTTTTGAGTTGGTGTATAGATAATTTACTACAGGGCTAACAGTTACAAAGAGCTGAGGCATCTTCCTGGGTTATCCCATTTCTGGAATTCTAACACTAACCCATGAATTAAAACTGCAAGTCACTGTGGAAATACCTGTTACTACATGTTGTGCAATTTAAAAAAAATAAAAATGGTCTTCCTGTTTTAGTTTATGGTGCCTCATTTCTTAAACTGTCTTTTTGGTTTTTCTTTTTTTCCTCCCTCGCCCTTCAATATAGTATTTTCCTAATTTCTCCCAGTTTCTTGCACCTTCACCTACTCAGCTGCCGCACATCTGAGCCCCTGTGTCCACTCTCACATAAAATTCTGAAGCAATTGCTGAAGGCCCGTTATCCAGAGGATTTATTTAATATACCAGACTATCCAAAGAATGATACAAAAGCTTGGTCATCAAGGTGCATCATGCACCCCAGAATGCCTAGGTGAGAAGTCACCCCTGTTGTAGTTTTCAGGATGGAAGTTGGGAATTGCAACAGTGTGGTTGTCCCTTGAACCTTCTCTGGAGTATCCGTGTTTTTTTTTTTTTTCATGTTGGCATCTGGCTTCAATATATCTGAACTCTATAGCTATGGACCTATGCAGTTTTGCAAAAATCACGAAATCTGGCATTGTTGGTGAAATACGTATGTAAAATCTGTGGGGGGAGGCGGGGACTTAGTAAAAAGTAAGTTGTTAGTGCCCTAGTGAGAGCCAGCAGTTTTCATGGCCTCTGTGGCTGGCTACACAGTCCGTGAAGAGGGGAGGGGAGCTGCTGGCACGAAGGAGAGCAGCCACGATGGCTGCTGCCCCTGCCCCTTGCCACTGACTGACTAAGAAGGCTGCCTATTGTACAGCCCTGTCCACCTCCACCAATTATCGGTGAGGGCTGGGGCTGCATGAATAATAGCCCTCGTGGCCAGTCAGTGGTGAGGTGCAGGGGCCATATGACTAACACACTTGTCAACCAATCAGGGGTGGGAGATGGGGGGGGGGGCGGCTGTCATGATAAATGCGTGAATATGGTGGCTGGACCTCTGATCTGCCTGCGAAATCGGCTGCCTGCTTCCTCGATTTGGGTAGAGCCCTAACTATAGCCCCTCAAGGTTGATGAAAAAGCATAGGAGTGCTATGTAGGTGCTGGATAGCAAGAATGACTCTGGAATTCTGCCCTTTATTCTGCTTTCTTGGGTCCTCATTCCCCATTGAATAGATTCAATGCTGCTGCTTTTGCTCCTATTTCTTCTTGTCTTTATTTGAGTGATTCTTACTTTCCAATAGTAATAGTAAACTGATGAGGCAGGTTAGTCCTAAATGCTCCTGTGTTCCTGAATTGGGTACAGGATTATATGTTAGGCCCCTGGCAGACATTAATGGCACAGTTAACATATTAATCATGCCATAAATGGCAACACACCACATGTTTAGCCAATTTACAACCCCATAAAATGGCAAACCAACCACAAAGATACTCCACATATAACGTAGAACATCTTTGTGGCTGGCCTTAAATCAGGCCTTTGATGTTCTGCATTCCCATGCCAACAGTCTTCATCTGATTGTTGGCATAGGAATCAGGGTACCCCAGGGTCTTGAGCCAGGCTGGGATTGTCCAGGGGGTTGCAAGTGCTGGGCAGGGGGAGCTGATTGTTTCCTCTCTTTGACAACTGTGCATCTGTCTTGGAGATCAGGGCAGCTTGTAGTCTCGAATTAGGCTGTGGATTACCAGGGGTCCACTTGCTTGTGCACAGCTTCAAACTTGCCACATGAAGAGTGTTGACTGAGTTCCTCTCTCCAGCACTTAAGAACTGGTGCACCTGGCAACCCCACACTGGCCTGCACCATGCACGCTTTCAATGTGCAGTTGCAGGTGGAGGACTCCATACGTGCTGGGAAGTTGAACTGCCAGAATTGCATGTCCTGTCCTGTACATATGCTAGGATGTGTGATTGTTAGGATTTGAGATCAGATGCTATTGCACCTTTAATTTAATGTGTTCCAGGGGCTTGCCTTTCTTTAATATAAATCCTGTATGCTAAAGCCTTGTTAGCTATTTTTAGTAGATGTCCTCAGTCAAAGGGAGAAAACTAGGCTTCTTTATATTGCATGCCTTGTGTAAGGTTTGGCACTTTTTTTTAATGTAAAATCAAAGGTTTGTATTCACAACAAAACAAGAGAAGGTTTGGCACAATTCTGTTAGTGATGCTGCAGTATAATTTGGCTAGAGCTCTTAAAACCTTTGGAATCAGATTTTGTGCTTTTTGAAAGACAGAAGAGAGGGTCTGCTTAGCCTCTTGCCAGCTCTGTGCCTCAAGCCTTGCACAGCACATGCAGACCAAGTGGCAGCTTATCTTTGTCATGCTAAGGTCAAAGCTTGCTTCTTCCAAGTGGGAATTGTGAAGAGGTGAAACGAACCAACTAAAGGGAGAAAACCAAAATACAATCTCGCTGTCTCCTGCATGAATTAGTAGTTATTTAATTACTAGTAAGGTATAACATATGTATTAATTTGTAGCTACTATACTGAAGGAGTAGGGTTTTTTGAAAGGGGAGGGGGTGGGAAGCTTCTCAAACTATCAGGTGTCTTAAAATTGCAGTGCTTAGAAGTTGCATGACAGTTTGACCTTTCTACTCAAGTGCTAATCTCATTTGTTTAATAGTGCCTGCAAAAGGGGGAGCTGGGTGTTCAGCATTTTACACAATGCGTTTATTTTGCATTCCCACAAGCTGTTCTGGTTCCTTGCTCATCTGTGAGGACCTTTAGCTTTCGCCTTGACAACAACTGTAGTACAAGTATGCAGTGTCAGCTCAAAGATCTGTATATAATTTAATATCTATATAAAATATCCAGTAATCTAAGAGAGACTGTGCAGATTAGCTGAATTGAAAAAGTCAGCGTTATAGTGAATGTGGAAATAAATAACTCCAATTTGTCACACAATTTTCAGGCTGCCTTCCTAACAGTCTAGTTCCAGTCTAATTATGATAGAGGACTTGGTACCTTAGCTATAATGAAAGATATCTTGCAAATCTAATCATATGAAATGCTAACTTGCTAACCCAGTATATGTGTGTTAGTGTTCTGAAATTGAAAATAACTTTGAACACGCCCACACCCTGTAACATTTTTGGATCCTTGCATATGGTCTGGAGAAATCCAGTGGAAAACTATTTAAAACCCTTTCATATGTAAAGGTGTAGATTTTTGTAAGGAAAGGAAATCCAATTTTATAGATGAAGAAGAGTATCTTTAAAAGGGGTGCAAAAGGTGGCTCTTTATTTTAAACGTCAACTTGTGTAACCGGACTGGAGGATTGGAACAGGTGATCTGCAGCCACATCCACGGACGCTTCATCTACTGATTAAAAATTGACCTCAGAGCTGTGCATGTCTCCAAAGTTTCTGCTCTTTGGGCTTCACAGAGCAGAATTTATCCTGAACAGACTTCCAAGCGCTCAGCATGTTGTTTGTTACAGTTCAGCAAGCTAAAGAAGTATAAGTGAGCATAACTATAACTGTATATAGTTTTGATTAATCAAGGTCTTATGTGAACCTATGACAGAATGAAAAGTTGCTTAAAAAGGACTGACATGTTTATACCTGTTCTGTTCTTTTATGGTCTAGCTGATGTTTTTTGGAATCTTTTTGTGCCTGGATGCTTTTCTCTATGTGTTCACCCTGCTTCCTCTGAGAGTTTTTTTGGCAATGTTCCGGTTCATCACTCTGCCTTGCTATGGCTTACGGTAAGTAGGTTTTGTTTTTTCTAAAGAAATATGGTTAGTTTTTAAAGAATGCTAGTAGTTAAGTTTTTGTAATTAGTTTGTTTAATTTTATGGCCCTCAGTCTTAGACTTTTGGAGCCCATTATTAATTCAAGAACTGTAAAAGAGTTTCTTACCCCCAAAAACACAGAGAAGTGATACTAGGTATGCTATCCATTCAATCTGTTTGTCTCACTGACTGTATTATATCCAGTTCATAATTATTCTTAAGTACACTGAGATGAGTAAAAGTCACAGCAGACAGCCTTATATCTGGGTTTTATTCTGTTAAACTATCTTTCTTGTGAAAGTGTCCAGGTTTTTAAAGGTCTGAATGAACTGGCACTCTTTGTATCAACGTGACCTGGATGAGAATTGAGACCTGTGTCTTTATGTTAATATACATGCTTAAGAGAGATTTTGTGAAAACAAAATTAACCCTTTTTTTAAAAAGGGTATTAATATAAGATGTATAATATTTATTTAAGGAAATGGAGTGGTAGTTCATTAATGGGATTTTTAAGGAACTGGCTTTTGTGGGATTGGTAATGAATATACAGGCTTTCACTCCAAAGCTGTTCGGTCAGATCAGTATTAAAAGTTTTAGAAAGCTATTAATCTCATTCTGAAAAGGGATCTATCTCTAGTTGGGCTTTATACAAGATTTGGAATATACTGTATATGATTGGTGAGAATTTCCAGGGCTGGTACCCATGCTGAATTTTATTTGGATAAATAGGGGTGTGAAGCTAATTAGATCGTGGCTCCACAAGCTCTGTACTTCAACCTGATAATTGTGGGCAATTTACAGTTGTAATATATGCATGTAGTGTTTTACAAAACACATTATTTGAAGTATTTTATTTTAGAACCAATCTTCTGAACAAAATAAAATTAGCTTTATTATTTCACAAAAAAGCCATAGCTTTTGAAGCATCTTTTATATGCATGGAAATTTTGTGTGGCTATTTGGAGATAATTTTAAAACTATTAAAATGATCACTAGATGGCAGCCTTCAACATCTTATCTTTCTCCTTAAATTCAAGCTTCAACCTAGGAGAGTTTTCATAATGCAGATATGGATTTTATCGCCATGTACAGCAAAGTATCAATTTTATTTTTTATTACCAATTAAATTACATTTTAAAATATAAACCTTGTAGTGATGTTATTAAAATGTAGTTAAACTCTCAAGTGGCTTAAAATGGCATTGTGAAGATTTATTCTTATTGACTCTTCTATTCAATTCACACCTTACTGCTGGACTTGCAGGTTCAGTGTAGTTTGAAAACACATTTTTCTATTTGTTTGTCATAATCTGGAATAAAAACATAACAGACAGACAACTATCTTAACAACTCCATTGCCTTCAATAAGGTTGTAGAAATGTGGCCAGGGTCCACATTTTTGTAAATTTTAACTATTATCTGTATGAGTCAGTAGAATCCACCTTATTCTGCTGAAATTAACTGTTGGCTTTTTGGGACTAAAGGAAGTAAGTAGGAGGAAAACTTTTTGTTTTCATTACTTATGTCAGCAGCTTTGATTCTCACTATCCTTGAAGGAGTGGATCCTTTCAGTAAAAAAGTTCAGTTACGTGCAAACACTTTCCCAATCAACCTCACTTAAAACATTGGTCCAAATGCATTTAGGTAGACTCTTCATTAGAAAAGATCGCTAATACCGTGTATGTCTCAATAGTTCACTGTCTCGTGCTTTGTCTAATTCATGGATGTTTTAAATTAGTTCACGCTTAACTACAGTTTACTATACACTGTAACTTTATCTGTAATTATACAGTAAGTTTGTTTCTAGACATTCATAGTTCTGTTTTACAAATGTTTGATACTTAAGTACACTAGTTCAGTTTGCTATAGCAAAAAATAAGATTTGGGCTTTAATTTTAAAAACTACCAGGCTATGTTTTGTATCTAAATAACATTTAGGTATGTGAAACACATCTACAATTACTAAAGTTATTGATTACAAAGCAGATGACTTGATATCTTTAACTTTCTCTTCCTCAAACTCAAGTGGGTTCTCTCACCCTTATTTCAAATAAATTGACTTCCTTATAGCTGTAACATCATATTCCATTCTGTGTAGTAAATAAAAGTGCTCCTCCCTTCTTTTTTATTGAGAACTTGGTAAAGAGATTGGCTAACATTCTGTGTCCCTTTTACTCTTATTTTTTCCTTGCAACTTTTAATGCTCTTTCTAAAATAGAAAAGGATTATATTGCTCTATTTTTGAAGGAATAAAAGTCTGATTTTTGTGTGTTAATCTAATCCCTATTCATGGTACTTTGTGAGGTACTTTAAATGAAAAAAAGGAACTGCATGTATTCTTTTCTGTTTTTTCTAACATTCATTCACTTAAAGCTAGCTGAGATGGACAGGAAGATTTACCGTATTTTAAAAGAGTTTCCCATCTCATTTCTATCTCTTTCTTCAGGTCTGACATTCTTGCTTTATTTGGTAGAGAATGCAAATTCTTTCACACTTAATGATCAAATCATCATTGCAACTCACTTCCTTGGTCTAGATTTTGGTTCTTTGAGAAAATTCCAGTTCTGTGTATTTGTCAGTACAGTACCTTCAGAGATGCTCAGAATTGCTTAAACTACAAAGCATGTGTTGCTAGAACAATCCACGTTTGTCATTAAGAAAAATGTGAACTGTTTTTCTGATCTCTTTTATAGTTAAACTCAGGGTACTACTGGACTTTCCAAACCTCCATGTTTGGATGGCCTGACAAGCTTAACTTCCTTAGGTCTTTCTTCTATATGTACATCTTCTGTGATCTCCTCCAAATATTTGACAAAACTGCACAGGAAGTTGAGGAAAATTGGTAAATCAACCCTTTAACACAATTCAAATAACTTCATTATATATATGTTTCCTATTTCCATAAATCAAAAAAAAATCCTTCTTTGCTAGTCTTTATCATAAATTAAGCTCTGGATAATTAACCAAGATATTCTTCAGCTGCTTAGCATGTGTTAGAACCATAAACCATTTAATGTAAAGGTTTCCAGGAATTTGTTGGAAACATCTTTTAAAACATTTACATTGCTTAAGGACAGTTTCCTTGTAATAGTTCTGTAATAAAAAATACTTTTTTTGACACTTAGGACTAGTAAGATCTGGCTCAACGCATAAGTTGTTCCAGGCATAATGCATCTTCTGCCTTTATGGAAGCATTTTCTAGAAATGTTGATTTTTTTTTTTTTTTTTTTCTTAACCTTTTAACGTAATATAGCTACAGTCCCTTAAAGAAATGGCGCAGACCACTACCACTCACAAGAATATTGTGCAAAGAGTCATAAAAGTGAAACCTTAAAATTGCCTGTTTTCTACAAGAGATTTTGGATACTAAATTGGGTGCTCTTTGCCCCTAAAGAAAATGAAGCCTGTAATTTAGTCATGACATCAGTAAAGGACCAGCTTAAGTTACATCTTTGTTCTTTCTTGAAAGAAGGGCTTTCTTGTTCCTACTGACCTACGCCTTTAAAAAATGACAAGAAAATACTTAATTAGGCAAAACGTACATGTAAATAGGAAATGTTAACGTCCATCTAGCATGCCCTTGAAATGCTTCATGAAGAGTGAAACTTGTTCTGTTTTTTTGAGAGCAAATAAACAGACTTGCTCTAAACATGCTTGTCATACAGGGTATCTTACTGCTCTGTTTCATTTCCTCTGAAAAACGAGTAGATTTTTGTCTAGTTATGACTAATTTAGCTTGCTTCTACTACAGATGCACCTCAAAGTAACTGTAACATACCCCATCCTCCTTATCAAAGACCACGGGGCTTTGGTCTCTTCCTTAAATATATCTGTTGCATTACTTGAAGGAAAGAATTATAGCAGAGAGCTTTCTATGGGGGAAAAAAGCTTGCTCACTTTTCTTTTACAGATCTTATTCCTTTGTTCACGTTGCCAGACTTGGTTAAAAGTAAATTTCAGTTCCCATTGCAGACTTGGTCCCAAGCCTTATTTTTTGCTAAGGACTAGTTTCAGCTGTTTAATATACACAAATCCTTAATTGTCTAATTAAGTTCAGTGAGAAAGCACATGTCTCTTTCTAGCAGAATGTATTCTGATTTATCGCTTAAAAAAAAAATCCCAGTTTCGTTCTGTATGTGCTATATTAGTCTCGGAGCAGGTGTCCCTCCTTCCATAATAGTTCGTAGTGTAGCAACATTACAACCTTCTCTTTCTCTTTCTTTCTTGTAAATCAGACCGAAGGGAAGAGCACTTTCACTTCCTTTATAGGATGGAATGTGGTGTCACAGGGACTCCTCCATGGTGAGTAAATTCTGATTTTTTCCTTCCGTGCTATCAGATAAATTCACATCTTGTGTGTGAATGAACTGATTACGTGTACAGCTGGACAGCATAGGTAGATAAAACAGCATTTCTGTATAGAGAAACTTGACACTTTGTATACAATGCCCGCAATTATTCATGACGCTGTACAGGAACGCATAAAGACTAATTTCTTGCTATGTAGAATAGGTTTATTTTTCTCATGTCACTTTATTTACTGGGGCCATTGACTATATGGTGGTTTTAACTGTTTTGTATATTTATGTATGTGCACTACTTGGCCAGCATTTAAAATCATAGCTCCTGATGTAGTTTTGATTATTGGTGATTGTATCCGGCCTAGTTTTACTTCACGTTATATAATATTCTAACTAACTCTTGCATAAACCATCATAATTGTATATTGAACATGATGTATTTCAGCCAAAGAGATGTTATTTGGGGGGGGAGGCGGTTGTTTTTGTTGGGGTTTTTTTGTTTGTTTGTGTTTGTTTTTTACTCGATTGAATGATACAATTTGTCCCTTTGGTAACCAGAAGATTAGCCTCAGTCTCTTGATATTTTTTTTTAACTGACTGTTTCACCATGTGAAATCTAAGGACTAATTTTGTTGGGTTTTGGGAGGGGAAGATTTGGAAAACTTTTAAACCTTTCTCTGCATAAGAAAATACAATCATCTTTTGAAACATGCTCTACTCATTTGCTAATTTTTAATATGATAGTTCATTTTCTCTTTAAAAAGTAAATTAATGAACTGACAGCTTTTTTTACTAAAATTTACATAAAGTCTTACTTTGCATTTATTTTGAGACAGCCCTCACAGAGGCCTAAGAATCAGGTTGGTTTTATTTAATTCTTAGCATGGTTTTGTGTTGTATTGTGTGCATCTAGCTTTTGTTGTTTAAAGTGCAATTTGATAATGGTAAATTTTTTCCTTCATTTGTCTTAAATCTTTACATGTGGTAGATGTCTGTTAGCAATCACTGACATTAATCAACCGTATTAAAGCTGGTCAAAATAGATTTTATTTCTAAGGCTTCTTAAATGTGAAATCAGGAACAGTTTTAGAAAATTATTTTTACCAAATTCTCTGATACCTTTCGAAAAATTTGGACAGGTTCCCTCTTGTAGGTAACCATGCCTCTTCATCAGATTCATTCTGGTGGTGTTTTCCTTGACATTTTAATTGCTAGAGAGACTTCTGAAAATAAGGTACCTTAAACATTAACTTGTTCATACCTCATTTAAAGTCACAATCTTTTAAATCGCAGTTCATTCATGTAGATATAATTATGATGTACAAGACTTCTGATGAGGAAAAAGATGTGCTATGGAGTTTGTCTAACAGTCTAGTTTCATATGAATGTCTTTAGTAGCAGTAAAAATGGAGAAGCAAAACTGATTATACTTCTTGAAATACAACTATTTCTAAACACAATTATGTCTCCAAGTAAACTTTTAAATAATAATTTTGCGAGAACCTTTATAGAATTACGTCTGCTGTTATACAAGAAAGAATAAATTCTTTGAATAGATTGGACCAAACCCAGTTAAATTCAAATTGTGTAGTTAATGAAATGTGGATTAAATGAACGTAAATATGTCTAATGTTTGTAATAAACATAGAAACTGTTTTCAGTGTTTTTATTTAATTTTTTCTATAGTAAACAGCTTTTTTACTTCCCATTGTTCTTATTTGTGCCAAATATCATGCAGGTTGGCACTTCGTCTTGTGAAATAGTGTTCAGGTTTTTAAAAGATTTGAATGAATTGGCATTCTTTGTATCAATGTGACCTGGATGAGAATTGAAACTTGTGGCTTGATGTTAATATAAATGCGTAAGAGAAACTTTGTGAAAACAAAATTAACTCCTTTTTTTTTTTAAAAAAAAGGGCAGCAATATAAAATATATGATATTAGTTAAGTAATGTATAAATAATTGACTCACCACAGAATGCTCAGCATTTATTACTGAGTAGGAAAACAAAAGAAAATCTAAACTCTTAGTTAAACTAAACTCTTCATTTAGTTTTACAACTGTTATCACTAAGGTATTTTAATGTATAAGCCAGACTGCAAAACTAACTAGTTGCTGGGCAACTAGTTAGTTTGAACTACTACAACTAGTTAGTTATAAACTACAAGGTTTATAACCTTGTAGTTTATAACTAACTACTTGCTGGGCAAAATGCAGCAGCAAGTAATCTTTAAATAAGAACATTCTATAATAAAATCAATTTTATCTCAGGTATTAATGCAGGGAATATATTAATACATATTTTAACTTTAAAAAAATATTTAATTGGCATAAGAAAATATATCTAAACTACAGTCAGAATTACAGCAACTATGTTATTCAGTCAGAATTGAAAGTTGTCTTTACAAAAGTAGAAATTGCATTGTCATGTAAGAAATGCTAGGCAACTATAGCAGCTTACTTATTTCAGTTGCTTATAATTTAATTGAGTTTTAGTAACTTGAGTTGAAATTTTGCATTTTGGTCTCTGGCTGAATTTTTTGTAAGCTTGAGCGAAAATAGTCTGAATCCGTTTCGAGAGAGGTTAGCAAAAATAATTAGCATTGTCAGTGTTTAATAGAATCATAGAAGTACGGTCGGAAGGGACCTTGCAGATCTTCAGGTCCGACCCCTTGCCTGGGCAGGAGGAAAACTGGGCTCAAATGACCCCAGCCAAGGCATCAAGCCGCTTCTTAAAGACCCCCAGGGTAGGAGCCAGCACCACTTCCCTTGAAAGTTGGTCCCAGATCTTAGCCGCTCTAACTGAAGTAGTTCTTACGGATGTCTAATTTAAACCTACTCTCCAACAACTTGTGGCCGTTATTCCTTGTTATCCCGGGGGGCGCTAGGGGAAACAAGGTCTCCCCCAAACCCTTCTGGTCTCCCCTAGTGAGTTTATAGACAATCACCTGGTCCCCCCTTCAGCCTTCTCTGAAGTGGGGTGCCCAGAACTGGGCACAGTACTCCAGCTGTGGCCTGACCAGTGTTGCGTAGAGGGGGAGGATCACCTCCTTGGCCCTACTTGAGATGCACTTGTGGATGCACGATAAGGTCCGGTTAGCCCTGCCGACCGTGACCTCGCATTGTCGGCCCATGTTCATCTTGGAGTCAATAATGACTCCAAGATCCCTTTCTGCCTCTGTGCTCTCAAGAAGGGAGTTTCCCATCTTATAAGTGTGCTGCTGGTTACTACTGCCCAAGTGCAGCACCCTGCACTTGTCAGTATTGAAATGCATCCTGTTTTTGTTAGTCCACCCCTGCAAGCTATCCAGGTCTTTCTGCAATCTTTCCATCCGTACTAGCGTGCCCACCTCACCCCAAATTTTGGTATCATCAGCAAATTTGAACAGGTTGCTTTTCACCCCGTTGTCCAAATCGCTGATAAAGAAATTGAACAGTGCAGGCCCAAGGACCAAGCCTTGGGGGACTCCACTGCCCACTTCCCCCTCAGGTCAAATATGACCCGTCCACCACCACCCTCTGAGTACGACCCTTCAGCCAAGTTACAATCCATTTGACTGTGTAGGCATCAATGCCACGGTCTCCTAGTTTTTTAATGAGGATGGGGTGGTCGACAGTGTCAAAGGCCTTGCTGAAGTCCAGAAAGACTACATCCACGGCGACACCTGCATCCAATGCTTTTGTGACCTGATCGTAAAAGGCAATCAGGTTGGTCTGACATGACCTGCCCCTAATGACCGTGCTGGTTGCCCTTGAGCATCATCCCCGATGCTGGCCCATCACAGATGTGCTCCTTGATGATCTTCTCCAAGAGTTTCCCCTGGATTGAGGTAAGACTGACGGGCCTGTAGTTGCCTGGATCCTCCCTCCTCCCTTTTTTAAAGATGGGGACCACATTGGCTATCTTCCAATCATCTGGCACCTGGCCCGAGCACCATGAGCATTCGTAAAGCCGTGTTTAAAAAAAGTGACTCTAGTTCTAATACCTTTTGGGGCGGGGGGTTGGAACCATGCATTGAATTTTGGTAGTAAGATGGTTCATCACTCAAAGGCATCTTTCAGATTTCCCACTGGAATAGCTACCTAGACATTCTCTTCTGATCACATGATAGATCAAAATCTGTCGACAAGTACAAGTTAATACACATTGATATACAATTCTAAATGAAATTGGAAAATAAAGATGACGAAAGGCAGTTCAACAAAGACTCTACTCAGTGAGTGTGCAAAATAAAGATGAAACGGACTATAGTAGTCCCAAATATGTCACAAATGAAAGGTGTGCCATCAGTTCTGGTTCCCCATCTCAGAAAGATTAAAGTAGGAAAGGTCCAGAGGAGAGCAAAAATATTATAAGCAGGAAAATTCCATATAAAGAGAATTTTAAGATTATGTAGTTTGGCAGTGAGTATAGAACAGTATATTAGCATCCAATAACAACTTGCATGTATTGGATGTTGCTCTTATCCCTTCAGCAAATAGAAAAGCCCAGCAAAATTATAAGCTATCACATTAAAGAGCGTCAATTAAAAAAATATTTAGAGGAAATATTTTTATGCTTCATAATTAACTACTGCAGCTTGCAAAAAGACTTATCCTAAGGGTTAAATATGTCTCCAAAAGATTATTATATATGTGGATAATAGGGGTGCACTGATAAAGATTTTTTTTTTTTTTTTTTTT